GAATGAAGGCGCTCTATTGTAACATCGTTATAGTGATGAATGGCGCAAATTTAAATTTTAAATTTTAAATTTTAACATCTAAATAAAGTTTGTGTATTGACCTGAATTTTATTATATATTTTAAGTGTGAAAAAGTCTACTCAGATTCAGAGTAAAAACATTTTTCAAATACGTTCTTCAAGAATTTGTGTGTTTGATTAACCATGATGTTTATTTTCTTACGGACTCTTATCCGTTGCTAGGAGGCTAATCGCACTAGAGGGACGATTTATTAAGTTGAAAGCTGCTGTACTCCAGTGTATGGTGTACCACAACCGCATAAATAGGACAGAAGACGTTTTATCCTTCGTTTATGAAGGTGTTATTCGGGCAAACGCAGTTAACAAGAAAGTCTTTGGAAAATTCCTACTTAATTCCACACTTCCAGTTACTTCTCCTAGGTCTGTACATTCTCTGTCTCATGTAAGTTGTGGTTCCATTTGAAATGTTCAGGGACAGTAGTCGGGTCGAATAGTTTATAATTCTGGCCACCATCTAACACTTAATATTACATTTTCTGTTTACGCGCAGCTGAATAATTTACTGTTTACCTGGCAACATTAACTATCTCTTGCAAAATTTGCCAACATTCATTTGTTTTCCGACCTAGCAGATTTCTCAAATTTCGGCACGATACAGCTTTATTTATTCAACAAGTTTTACATTTCTCTAATGTCCATACTTCCAAGCACAGACCACAACAAAACACTTCTTTTTCATAATCATCGATGACCGTCTCTGACTATGTCTATCTTCTTCGGTGTCTCCCATTTCCCAATGCCATCTTAAGTATCATCCCTAAATAGTTGCATTCACTTACTGTTTTAAATTGTGGGTCCTGTAGTCTCCACCTCTCAGAATCCTTCTGCCTTCTCCCTTTTTGAATCGTAAGTACTTTGGTCTCCTTTGTATTAACTTTCGAATCTCATTTTCTGTTTATCCGCTTCGCTCTAAACCTACTGTAAACCACGAACTGTTAATGATACCTTTGTCCACCATATGTATTACGTCAACACTGGTACCGTGACGTCACCTATTATCAGCGCATGTGCAATAGCTCTGTTATCATAATGGTTAAGTATCTTGTGAATATATTAAGTAAGTGTGGAGCGTAACCCATAACCTGGATTCTCACCCATAGTCTGATCACTTAAGCTGGTCAGTTCTTTAAACGCACCCTGCTCATAGCTCTGTATTTTGTCACTAACACTCGTTCTTCGGCGTTCATATCTTAATGCATTCCAACCTATCTAATCAGGCGCATTTTAAAGCCGGTCATATTTTATTCTCTTCAGTCCTAGGCATGCATTAATCAAGTAGGATTTCAGGTTTCCACGGCGCTGAATACGAATATGGCTGTTTTCTGGGTTGTAGCAACGTGTATTAGCGTTTCAGAGGTCATTGCTGCCTCCATCATAAGGACAGATCGCCCTGATGACGGAGGTACAAACGGCCTCTGAAATGTCGATAAACTTCTACCATACTACACTGTGCTACAACCCAGAAGACAGTCATTTTTATATTAATTAAGATAAAGTGCATAAACATTGCTTATTGGTTGTTCCTTGAAGGTGCTCAGGGCCAGTGGCTGGAGACAGCGACCATTGACGGCAATGAAATTTCTAGTTCAATAAAACATGGGGAATTTCTTTACTAGATGAGCGACTATAAGATACTCATTAAGGGCTTTGTTGCATAAAGTTACTCTCTGGTCTCTTAAAATCCGGACTGGAACTGAGATAAAACAGTGCGTATTCTCTATCCGCTTTCTGTAATCCTTTCACAAAAATCAATAAACCTTTTTGTCGCCCCTGATCAACTATTTTGTCCTTACCCCTGAGTAGTAGGCCAATCCTTCTACTTAGTTTCTCCCTCTTTTTACGTGAACGGCCAGTTGTTTTCCTTCCCTCCTTATTTATGCAAAATATTCAAGAAACTTTACCCTTAAACAACAAACTAACGTTTCGTACTGTCATTTACAATCTCACTGTCACGTGGCTTTAGAAGTTCGTTCCGCCCACATTAATGAAACCACCTCGATAAATCAAGGTCTAACTTGATAAACTGATAGTCATTCAGCCTGTCAAGATATGTTCCACCTTTACACAACCAATATATTCATTACCGTGCTCACAAAAGCCCGGCAATGGACCCTACTCCTTCACGTAATTTTTCCCGGCCAGACTTCTATAGAATATCTTCGATTGCGCACATCAACGTTCTGTTGGTACTCGGCGTCCTTGAATGTGCACCCTGATAATATTTAAAACAAAGTACAAGCGGTCAAGTTCCTTGGCTCGTATTTTTCTTTATCATGTTGCTTTCTCCCTTATGTGCATATATTATCCTCAGCAGCTTTTGCTCAAACACCCGCAACTCATTCTTTCCCCTCAGAGTGACAGGCGACTTGCATTATTCCGATTCCAGCCTTCATCCTCCTCACTTTCTGCAACCTTTGCAGTTTCGCCTTCTTCCTTTCACCGAAAAATCTTGAGCGCTCTTTGTCCTCCGGCCCAATGCTATCCTTTTCTCACCTGTCACCCGTACTCCCACTGAGTCTGTAACACACATTGCCCCTCTAATTCCGTTGACAGTGAGAGGGTTTGTAGAGAATTCTGACGTTCAAAGTGCAAAGTCCCACATTCTTTCTGCCATTGCTTAGTCGTGCCAAGAATCCGCCCAAGACTGAAACCTCACGTAACATTTCGTTACATGCCAATTGTTTATGGTGAAAGGTTGTTAGCACCTCGCCAGCTGAAGGATCACCCCTTATCGGCTGCCCGATTCTCGGAATAAACTTCTAGCAACTTCATTGCCGGAAGCCTGTTTTATACCTTTATTCTTTTATATAATTATTTTCAATGGTTTGAATAACTTTTAGGCTACAAAAAAAAAACAAATCCAAGACCTGGGAGCAAGAGCGGGCTAACCTCCTCAGTTGGAAAACATGGAATAAGGAGAAAATGTAATTCCACTGTCACAATCAGTTTCAGACGACAGAGATGTGTTGTTTCTGTTGTCTTTAAATTTGCATGTTTGAGAATCTTATAAAGTAGGACCACAGAAATTACGTATACCTTTTTCCTTTTCATTAAAATAAAGTGTGGGTTAGCCCTCTGTTTTCCTCAGGTTATCAATTATCTGCCTGTGGTCATTATTTCTTGGTGATATCCGCGTACATATTCAAGCTAATTTCAACACAACTTACTACGATAAACATTACAAATAGTTTAACTGAACGCAATAGGCGGAAGTGGCTTACTATTCGTATCAGAGACCAAGGTTTTCAGAACAATAGTGGTTGGTGGTCATGAGCGAGATATCTCGTTCGTAACAAGGAGGCGGTTGAACCGTATCAGAACAGAAAGGGTTAACAGGGGCTACTTTTATCTTACGTGTTGATGAATAGGGCTGTGTTTCAAGGGACTATATCATCCTGTCAAATTATAAACTTACGTTTATGTGTAACCATATCACACGTTGCTTCTCGTTTCGCAGGCCTTATAATGGCCAAGTTTAATCATGGATGTGATGTATATGAAGCATCTGGAATCAAGTAAAACAGCATTAGTGCGTCATTATCCGATCTCATCACAAAGTGCATGAAACGTAGAGGGTCGGGAAGCCATGTTGAATTAGATAAAGGTAACAAAGAAATTTATATAATACGTATTCAATAAATTAACTTCACTGTCATGTAACAATGAAAAATTTCAACAAACACGTTTGGGGAACACTTCTTGTCAGGTTCTAAGATTCAGAGCTTGTTGGAATAGAGGATATTTTGTTCCGATTTAAAAATTGTTATGAATATCAGTAGCTGTGTGAGTCTTAAATCTTGCTTTACACCCAGTACATTTCTTCACTAGTCCACAAATACATTATCCCGGCAAGTATTTTGTTAGAAATACTTAATAAGTCATACTTTAGCAACTTGCTGAGAAATTTAACGTTGCACACAACTAGAAGGCTGTGAGTTATGTTTAGTGATCAAAGTATCACATGACAGATCTCTTGGTATTTTCTTCCAGTAACAAATACCCTCGCTTCCAGAACAAATATGTTTCCAGATGTTCGTGAGATGAGAAAGTAATATTTTACTTGTATGACGGCATCCGCTGCTCTCTTTCTTTCTTTTTTTTTCTCGTTTTGCTGTGCAAAATTGCTATCGCTTTGTGAGCTTCTATATTCCTTCGGCGGCAATTATGAAGATGACTATGTTCTGAGATTTTTGGCGTGTAGACGTTTCAGAGATGTTTACTGCCTCCATCATGAGGGCGATCTCTGAAATGTCGGTAAACTTATACAGGCTACACGGTGCAACATCTGAGAAGACAATCATCTTCTCTCCTATCACTTTACAAAGTATTGAACTTTTGCTATTCAAAACAGGTTTGTACTTGTACCATTGGGTCGCAGATGGAAGTTACGAAGTCACTTCGGCGCAAGAGAGAGTTCAGCAAGAGAAATCTTTATGGCAGTTTTGAACGACCTTCCATTATGCAACTGTTATTTCATGGAAACCAACGATCGTTTGCGATCCATTGATTCAGATCATTCCGAAATAATAGAGTCCGGTAGCGTCAATAGCTGTGATACCACACTTTGAAACCTCAGAGTGAAATTTGAAACAAATGAAATCTGACAACCCGCTTTGACCAGTTCACATCGCTTGCAATAATTCCATTAAGTACTTGCAGTGTTAAGCGATGTTTTAATGCAATAAATTCAGTAACTCCATCACAAAACGTTCGAAACATTTTCACGTCGAAAAAAAAACCATGACAATTTGAATTTGCATTCCAGTATTAAAAATTTACTAAATCATGTACATTTTCTGGCTCATGACAGAGTCCTGGCCTGGGTAAATCTCAAGTTTCCTTAGAGACAGGAAATGTCCTGACTGTGGGAGGAAAATTAGCATTTCAGATTCTGTGAACGGAATAGGAAGAATGTTCAATCCTATGTCAGTTGTACAAATTATCGTGTGATACGCCTGTTTCTTGTATTCATACTGTTGTACAAATTATCGTGTGATACGCCTATTTCTTGTATTCGTACCACTCGCATTAAATAAGAAGTGACAAGCAGGTCGAAATAATGACCAGACGTGTGAATTCTGTTCGGAGATGACTGGCCAAACATCAAATTACCTGCTGCACAGGAAATAGAACGTGACACTCGATCGAGCAGAAGTGATTGATGACGCTTGATGATCAGTTAGACAGCCCGCACTGTCAATGAGTGTTTCAAAATTGAACCACTGAAGAGCCCTGGTGAAACCGGCGGGGAACTTGAGAGCGCGTTTCCCATAGAAACGTGCAGGTGGCTTTCCGTGTATACATTAAATTGATTATCTGAATTGAAAAATGAAATATTTACAAAACTCTGATATATTCTGCTCCTCAGAATTAACTGCGTCATTTTCACAATGAACTGATAACTAAGCGACAACGTGGTTCAGACATTTTCTTGAAAATCCAACAGTTCTTCAGTTCCCTGCTTCTGTGGAACCCGAAAGTAGATCAGTGTTCAAAAGGCCCACCATTGGGCCCTTTCGTGAGTGTCTTTAACATTAAGATTTTTTTAAATATTATTCTTCCATTTACGCCTAAATATCTCCAATGGTCTGTTCATTCACGTATTCCGACCAAAATTTATGTGTGCATTTATTTTTATCACATATCACCTCTCTCGTTAATTACGAAATTTGTGTTGCGAAACTTCTATAATGTACTGACTGTCCCCATTTCTATGTTATGTTTCATGTCCCAAGAGTAATAAACCTTTTATAATAAAACATTAACAAATAAACACTGCATACAAGATCTTACAAGGTATATGGACCATCCACTGAAGGGCTTCAACACAGATATTTAATTTACTCATGAGTCAAGCATTTAGTACGTGCCCCGTTCGAATCTCGGCCTGGCCAGCTCGTCATGGTCTTCCTCAGCTCTCGAGGAAAATTTCAGTTAGTACCTCGTAATAGGCTATGGCCACTTCATTCCATATTGTTTTGCACGTTCAGAAATAGTTACTTAGTTTCACTCGATGCGACAGCACGAAGTGACTACGTAACTCCTCAGTCCAGTCAGTAGGTCAGTAGGTCAGTGAATCTTCTGCTTTTAACGTTTCACGTTAGGAGTTTGATTTAAAAAAGAAATGCTTTCACTTAAATGTTTACATATTTCCGTCATCATTAAAAGTTATCGTTGACAAGAGACAACGGTTCTTGAAAAGTTTAAGAAGACATTACAGAATAGTTATTGTTTGCTGATTATATCAACTACCAAAGGCTCTTAAAGAAGATATTCTTAATTGAAAAAAAACTTGTTCGTAGAATGAAAAGGGTTATATATAATAATTTTAAAAATGTTAAAACTTATCTGATGGAATAGTGAGTTCTTATCTTATTAAGTTTAAGGATTACAGTGTAGATTCAAAGTGTTTGTCCTCGCCTTTTGTAAAAGACTATCTTTCAAAACTCTTTAGCAGCGTAACCCGAGACACAGGGAACAGTGAGGCTTTAAAAGGGCAGACGCAATTTTTATAAGACTTCAACTTTTTATGTTTTTCTCTTAATCTATACCGCTCCCTGAGGGACGTAATTCTTGGGATGGGGGATGTTATAAAACAAAAGAACAAGAAGCAGGGATGTGTCACGGTAATATCTCCCTGCAGGGTGGATAAACTGGTACGTACGTCATTTTGCACACGGAAAAGGCGAGTTCAGAGTCTTAAACTGTACAGTGAAAAATGTGATACGGAACAGCGGGCTGCAATGCCTAAGGAAAGGAACACGTAATTTACCTAGGAAGGATGAACAAGGCGAAGGAAAGGAACACGTCATATAACGTGTAAAGTAGACTGTATATTTAACCCATAACCAGCCCATAGTATAGCGTCTTTCTTGAAAACTAAATAGTTGCTCGCTAGTCAACAAATTATTCATTTTACATAACTCCTTTTTATTACTAAGTTAAGAAGATCACACGACTTCATCTCATGCTGAATCAACTGATTGAGATTAACACCCTATTTTAAAATACATTTTAATATTATCTCCCTTCCACGATTGTGCGCAAGATGACGGTACTGAAAATTGAATAACGGATTCTTTTCGGCAGAGTGGGAATCTCTTAGATTTCTGGATTCAGAAGCTGAGGAGGACTCGAGAGGCTCTCAACGATGAAAGTGACTGTGCAAACACTAGAGCACTAGTTGTCTAATGAACTCACACAGCAAATACCATTATCGTACAACCAGTGCATAACAAAATGTGCATTTATTATAACTCTTGGATTCTATGAGCTACTGTATATTTCGTCGTCAGTATCATCAGCTTTAAAATTTCGCCCAGTGACTCCTCTGCGGGCTTAAATTCCAACAAGTGCAGTAACAAATAAATTTCCTTAAACACAAAAGCTCGACGTTCAATTTATTCGGGAGGCGCTCAGTTCGAATCTTGGCAGACTTGACGAGTATTACGACTGAAAATTCTCTTAGTTTTCTATTATCTACGCAAGAGAATACAAATATGCCAAAATCGTATTTTGTACGCTAAAGACTACATGTGCAGTGCGCAAATTTAAATTAACCGGAATCTTTTCTTGTTAAAATTACGTATATAAATTCGATTCTAAATTGTACGATTATTTATTGATAATCATTTTTAGCCCTGATGACGGATACAGTATGTTTCTCCGAAACATTGGTCTCTACCTATGAGTCTGAACGGGGTTAGAACCCAGAACATTATTGTCATCGTGGGATTCAAATCAGTCATATTAATTTACGCAGAAGTGTCCAGTCCGCTGACAAAGCTTTTTTTTTTTCGGGCCTTCGCAAATTGACCTATTTTAAGTGAATCTATTCTTAGCATCAGCCAGGGACAACAGACATATTGTAATATTTCTGATCTGTTTAAGTAAAATTTCAGTGGCTACTAAAAGCAGAAGTAGCCAAATGAATGACGGTTTGACATGGTAGTAAAGCTCTGTGCTGCTGGTCACGCAGTTAACACACACTATGATTACCATCAGTAACCTTTGCGTGTCTCATGGGATTAAGAAGCTAAGAATGTTCTCCCGTCCTTTTGTTTCTTGATATAGCTTAGTTACCCGAATAGCTTACACAGAAAGGCAGAGACCTTTCAAATACGAAGCAGAAATTTTAACCAAAAACCAAAATGTTCGTGTTACAAGTTTGGTGTGCTTTGGAAATGATCCTGCAGTGTGAGGCCGTGTTAACTGTCGGTGATGGTAGAAAAGGGGAGCTTACTGGACAGCAAGTTATATAAATATGCAGATACGTTGCGACTAATTCGGAAAGTTGGTTGTTTCACAGCTGATCAAGAATTTCTCTGCGTGTATGGTATTGCAATATTCGTTACCGTCTTCATAAAAGCCCGTCTTTGGAATTTATCCTGAGTCAGTTGAATCCGTTTCACATTTTCACACCATATTCTGTATGATAAATTTTAATGATGAGTTTGACTACATTCTATGTGTAGCTGTCAATAGTAATCTTTTATCCTGCCTGAA